TGACATCATGCCTCAAGGAATTAGAAAAAGAACAAACCAAACCCAAAGCTAGTAGAAGAAAAATAACAAAGATCAGGGCAGAATGAAATGAAATCGAAAAAAAAAAATACAAAAATCAATGAAACAGAAAGCTGGTTATTTGGAAAGATAAACAAAACTGATAGACCACTAGCTAGATTAACCAAGAAAAAAAGAGAAAAGGTTCAAATAAGCTGAATTAGAAGTGAAAATGGAGACATTACAACGGACACCTTAGAAATATAAAAGATCATCTGAGATTCCAATGAGCACCTCTATGCACACAAACTGGAAAATCTAGTGGAAATGGATAAATTCCTGGAAATATACAGCATCCTAGCTTGAGTCAGGAAGAAACAGAAATCCTGAGCAGACCAACAATAAGCAGTGAGATTGAATCAGTAAAAAAAAAAAAAATGTCAACAAAAAAAGTCCAGGGCCAGATGGATTCAAGCCTAATTCTACTAGACATCCTGAGCAGACCAATAATAAGCAGTGAGATTGAATCAGAAAAAAAGAAAAAAAAGAATGCCAACAAAGAAAGTCCAGGGCCAGATGGATTCAAGCCTAATTCTACTAGACATTCAAAGAAGAATTGGAACCAGTTCTACTGAAACTATTCCACAAGATTGAGAAGGAGGGAATCCTCCCTACCTCATTCTCCCCAGGCAGTATTATCCTGATACCAAAGGCAAGAAAAAAACCTACCAAAAGAAGAAAACAGCTCAATATCCCTGATGAATATAGATGCAAGAATCCTCAGCAAAATACTAGAAACGGAACAAAATAGCATAACAAAAAAAATTCACCTTGATGAAGTGGGTTACAGTCCCACTTTTCTTTTCTCAATAGATGCAGAAAAAGCATTTGGTAAGATCCAGTATCCCTTTATGATAAAAATTCTCAACAAACTAGGTATAGATGAAACATACCTCAAAACAGTAAAAGCCACTTATGACAAACCCACAGCTAACATCATTCATTGAAATTGCAATGTTATTTTTTTGCGGAAATAGAATAAAACCATTCAAAAATTCATATGGAATCTCCAAGAACCCAGAATAGCCAAAACAATCTTGAGAAAGAAAAACAAAGCTTGAATTTCCTATGTGCTGACTTAAAAACATATTACAAATCCATAGCAATCAAAATAGTATGGTAGTGGCATAGAGAGAGACATAAGCCCAGTGTGGTGGCTCAGACCTGTAATCCCAGCACTTTAGAAGGTGGAGGTGGGTAGATCACTTGAGATTGGGAGTTTGAGATCAGCCTGGGCAACATGGCAAATACCTGTCTCTACAAAAAAAATAACAATAGTTACCCAGGTGTGGTGACGTATGCCTTTGGTTCTAGCTAATCTGGAGGCTAAGGTGGGAGAATCGCTTGAGTCCAGGAAGTTGAGGCTACAGAGAGCCATGATCATGCCACTGTACTCCAGCTTGGGTGACAGAGAAAGACCCTGTCAGAAAAAAAAAGCCAGACATACAGACTAGTGGAACAGAATAGAGAATCCAAAAATAAATCCTCATCAAATGATTTTTGACAAAGGTGTCAGGGCTACTGGTAGGGAAAGGACAATCTCTTCAACAAATGATGTTGGGAAAACTGGATATTGGTATGCAGAAGAATGCAGTTGGACCCTTACCTTATACCAGATTAAAAGAAATAAACGGATTAAAGACCTAAATGTAATACCTAAAATTATTAAACTTCTAGAAGAAAACAGGAGAAAAGCTTCATTACATTGGATTTGGCAGTGATTTCCTGGATTTAACACAAAAAGCACAGGCACCAGAATAAAAATAAGACAATAGGACATCAGACCTAAAACCTTTTGTTCAGCAAAGGAAAATCAAGAGAGTGAAAAGGCAACCTATGGAATGGGAGAAAATAATTGCAAACCATATATCTGATAATGGACACACATCCAAAATATGTGAAGAACCTCTATAACTCAATAACAAACATCAAAATTTAAAAATGGGCAAAGGACTTGAATATATATTTTTCCAAAGAAGATATACAATTAATTAGCCAACAAACATGAAAAGATAAACATCAGCATGAAAAGATCAACAAGTGATCGTTAAGGAAATGTAACTCAAGACCAGAAGAGATACCACCTTGCACCCGTTAGCATGGCCATTATTTTTAAAAAAGACTAAAAATAACAAGTATTGGTTAGGATCTGGAGAGATTGCAACCCTTGCACACTGTGTTGGTGGGAATATAAAGTGATGCCACTAGGGAAAATGATATAGAGGCTCCTCAAAAAATTAAAATCAAAATTACCATATAATTCAGCATTCTCACTTCTGGGTATATATACAAAGGAATTGAAAACAGGATCTTATGGAGGTATTTGCACACCCATTTGCATTGCAGCATTATTTCCAGTAGCTAAGGTAGAAGCAACCTAAATGTTTATTGTAGAGATATGGATAAAGAAAATGTGATATATGCATACAATGGAATATTGCTCAAGATTTAAAAAAGAAGGAAATCCTGTCATATGCTACAACATAGAGAAACCTGGAGGTCATCATGCTAACTGAAATAAACCAGTAACAGAAAGACACATAGTACGTTATCACACTTACATGAGGTTTCTATAATAGCCATACCCTTAGAAACAAAAGTAGAATGGTAGTTGCCAAGGGATAGGGGAATGGAGAAAGGGAGAGTTGTTCAGTGGTTATAGAGTTTTGTTTTTGCAAGATAAGGAAGTTCTAGGTTTCTTTTGCACAACAATGTGCGTGTAGTCAACACTACTGTACACTTAAAAATGGTTAAAGTGGTAAATTTTGTTACCCCCATCCCCCATTTTTAGACAGGATCTTGCTCTCTATCATCTAGGCTAGAATGCAGTGGTGCAATCATAGCTCACTGCAACCTTGAACTCCTGGGTTCAAGCAGTACTCCTGCCTAAGCCTCCCAAATAGCTAGTTCTATGGTTATGTGCTACTAGGCTCAGCTAGATTTTTAATGTTTTGTAGAGACAGAATCTCGCCATGTTGCCCAGGCTAGTGTTGAACTTCTAACCTCAAGCAATCCTCCTGTCTCAGCCTCTCAAAAGCACTGGGATTACAGGTGTGAACTACTGCACCTGGTCTATGCTTTTTTTTTTTTAACCATAATTTTTTTTTAAAGAAATAAACCTGTCTGCATTCATATGCTATTTTACCTGATAGGACAAATTTGCCTTAGGTAAGCCTTTGTAAACAGGCATGATCTTCTAAAAACTGCTCGAATGTTTTAGAAAAGGAAGAGTGAGAGCAAAGACACTTGAAGAGTCATAACTGGTTCTTTATCTTTTGTTAACAGTTTAAAAAAGGGAGCACTTTCTGTGTCTCACAGGGCAAATGCCTTCATCCATTGGAACCTGAACCATGAGTATTTCCTTCTGAGACTTTCATAAAACTAAGTCTGCATAAAGGCAGAGTCCTGTGGTAACAGGAACCTCATAATAGCATTTACATTTGGTGTTAACATGCACCTAACAGGAAAAAGGATTCAGTTATTTTCAAGCTCCCAAATCCCAAATGTGCTGAATAGACATTTCCTTTAAAAAATAAATATACAAAATGGATTTGTGTGACTTGAAGTTTAAAAGAAATGTTCTTGCATGCCATAGTTAAGAATTGTAACAATATCACATTCTCAAGTTTCCATATTTTTAAAGTAGACTGTCACGGTTTGGCTCAGCTACTAAATTAAATTATTGCTGGCTTGAACTTTTGTTTTGGTTACACTATAATCTTTACCTCCCTTGGAAAATATGTCCTATTTTGAGTGTTTGTTTCAGGCTACTTGGCTTGAAACACCTCTGTTTAGCAGTAAAGTATGGATGTATAAGTGAGATCTGTGTTTTATATATATAGAAAGGAAAGAAATAGAAAAAAATTTTACACTGTGAGTGTTACAAAAACACACCACAGGAATAAACACATACATGCATATATGCAACTAGAACCATCCTTATCAATGATCAAGAGAATATAATTATACTGAATTAATATACATACATACATGCATACATGTCTATCCATTAATGTTATTACAGGTTGAATTGTGTCTTCCCCTTCCCCGAAATCAGATGTTGATATTCTCACCCTTAGGAGCTCAGAATGTGATCTCATTTGGAGATAGGATTTTTGCAGAGGTAATCAAGTTAAAGTGAGATCATTAGGTCAGGTCCTAATCTAGTATGACTGGTATCCTTATTAAAAAGGGGAACTTTGGATACAGAGATATGCATAGAGGGAAGACAGTGTGAAGAGACAGAGAGAAAAGACAGCCACCTACAAGCCAATGAGAGACATGGAACTGATCTTTCTCTCATACCCCTCAAAAGGAACCAACCCTGTCAACATGTTGCTTCTGTATTTGCTGCTTCCAGAATTGTGAGACAATACATTTCTATTGTTTAAGCCACCTAGTTGTTGGTACTTTGTTATAGGAGCACTAGCAAACTAATACAAGGTATTTGTGTATTATGCTAGAAATCAGGATATACTCATTTAGGTAGGATACCTGATTAGTCTTTACATATTTTACCTTTTCATAATATCTCTTAAGTGCTTTTAAGAAATTAGTTTCGGAAAAAAAAAAAAAAAAGAAATTAGTTTCGGCCGGGTGCGGTGGCTCAAGCCTGTAATCCCAGCACTTTGGGAGGCGGAGGCGGGTGGATCACGAGGTCAACAGATCGAGACCATCCTGGCCAACATGGTGAAAACCTGCCTCTACTAAAAATACAAAAAATTAGCTGGGCATGGTGGCGCGTGCCTGTAATCCCAGCTACTCAGGAGGCTGAGGCAGGAGAATTGCCTGAACCCAGGAGGCGGAGGTTGCGGTGAGCCGAGATTGTGCCATTGCACTCCAGCCTGGGTAACAAGAGCGAAACTCCGTCTCAATAAAAAAAAAAAAAAAAAAAAAAAAAAAGAAGCAGCAGCTTCTCCGCTCCTTCTGGAATCTCTCCCTAGTTCAGCTCGCCTGCTTCCACTCCTGCCTCCACCATGTCCACCAGGGTGACCCATAAGTCCTACAAGGTGTCCACCTCTGGCCCCGGGGCCTTCAGCAGCCGCTCCTTAACGAGTGGGCCTAGTGCCCGCTTGAGCTTCTCCCGAATGAGCAGTAGTGGCTTCCGGGGTGGCCTGGGTGCAGGCTATTTTGGGGCCAGCGGCATAGGCATGGGAGGCATCACCGCCGTCACCATCAACCAGAACCTGCTGAACCCCATTAAGGTGGATGTGGACCCCAACATCCAGGCCGTGCGTACCCAGGAGAAGGAGCAGATCAAGACTCTCAACAACAAGTTTGCTTCCTTCATCGACAAGGTGCGGTTCCTGGAGCAGCAGAACAAGATGCTGGAGACCAAGTGGAGCCTCCTGCAGCAGCAGAAAACGGCTAGGAGCAACATGGATAACATGTTTGAGAACTACATCAACAACCTGAGGCGGCAGCTGGAGACTCTGGGCCAGGAGAAGCTGAAGCTGGAGGCGGAGCTTGGCAACATGCAGGGGCTGGTGGAGGACTTCAAGAACAAGTATGAGGAAGAGATCAATAAGCGTACAGAGATGGAGAATGAATTTGTCCTCATCAAGAAGGATGTGGATGAAGCTTACATGAACAAGGTAGAGCTGGAGTCTCGCCTGGAAGGACTGACTGACGAGATCAACTTCCTCAGGCAGCTGTATGAAGAGGAGATCCGGGAGCTGCAGTCCCAGATCTCCGACACGTCTGTGGTGCTGTCCATGGACAACAGCCGCTCTCTGGACATGGATGGCATCATTGCTGAGGTCAAGGCGCAGTACGAGGAGATCGCCAACCGCAGCCGGGCTGAGGCGGAGAGCATATACCAGATCAAGTATGAGGAGTTGCAGATGCTGGCTGGGAAGCACAGGGATGACCTGCGGCGTACGAAGACTGAGATCTCCGAGATGAACCGGAACATCAGCCGGCTCCAGGCTGAGATCGAGGGCCTCAAAGGCCAGAGGGCTTCCCTGGAGGCTGCCATTAGAGATGCTGAGGATCGCGGGGAGCGGGCACTCAAGGATGCTCATGACAAGCAGAAGGAGCTGGAGGCCGCCCTGCAGCGGGCCCAGCAGGACATGGCAAAGCAGCTGCGTGAGTACCAGGAGCTGATGAATGTCAAACTGGCCCTGGACATCGAGATCGCCACCTACCGCAAGCTACTGGAGGGCGAGGAGAGCCGGCTGGAGTCCGGGATGCAGAACATGAGTATCCACACGAAGACCACCAGCGGCTATGCAGGTGGTCTGAGCTCTGCCTATGGGGGCCTCACAAGCCCCGGCCTCAGCTATGGCCTGGGCTCCAGCTTTGGCTCTGTCGCGGGCTCCAGCTCCATCAGCCGCACCAGCTCCACCAAGGCTGTGGTTGTGAAGAAGATTGAGACCCGCGATGGGAGGCTGGTGTCTGAGTCCTCTGACATCCTGCCCAAGTGAACAGCTGCAACAGCCCCTCCCAGCCTGCCCTTCCCAGCCTGCCCCTCCCAGCCTGCCCCTCCTGAGGCTGCCCCAGAGCCCAGGAGGGAGGTTGCTGTGCAGGGGAGCGCAGGGAACAGGAGACCCACCTGACGCTCAGCCCTAGCCCTCAGCCCACCGGCGCTCAGCCCTCAGCCCACCGGCGCTCAGCCCTAGCCCTCAGCCCACCGGCGGGGAGTTTACTGCCTGGGGACCCCCCTTGCCCATGCCTCCAGTTGCAAAACAATTCAATTGCTTTTTTTTTTTTGGTCCAAAATAAAATCTCAGCTAGCTCGGAAAAAAAAAAAAAAAAAAAAAAGAAATTAGTTTCCCTAAAAATAAAAAGAAGAAAAAAAAGAAATTAGTTTCCCAATTTTGTATATTAAGAAATGTAAGATTGACTGTGATGATGAAGGAGTTAGATTTGGAAAGTGGACCCTACTCTGCATAAATAATAATCAGACTTTTATTCAGGAATCTGTGAGTTTGTGCAATTTGTAGTAGTAGTACTAGAGTTTACCAGAGGCCTAATGGATTGGAAAGGCAGAATCAGACAAAGGAAATTTACCCTCATCCAGCACCAAAATAAAAAATTCTCAAAGTTGTGCACATGGGAATTAAAACTTCTCCACATTAGAAACAGACATCTTTAAATAACTGTTTTTTTCATTGCCCCAACGTGTAAGTGCCTTTTTATTGTGCTCATTTTGTTGTCAGTAGAAGGGATGCTTGAGTTCAGTACTTGGGAGAGTGGAAGGTGCATGTCTGTGTTTACTGCCTCCAACCAATGCAAGAACATACCTGAGCAACCCAAACTCCTGACTGGGGCTAATTGGAGTCAGTGGTAGAGGAGAACACTGTTTTACAATGTTAGATGTTTTTGTTGTTGCTCTGGAGATTGGGAGAGATTAATCTTTGCCTGGAGATAGGATTTAGCAGAAAATATGTATTTATATCTTGTTTTATTATAACATCTCCATTCCATTGACTTCTTTCCTGAACCCAAATTAAGCAATGAATGTTCTTTTGGCATTTTTAATATGGGTGTTCATTATTACCTGTATAATTCAGAATACTTCTAGGTTATGTCATAAGCATGCTATTATTTGTATTAGCTTACAGATACTGTTGATCTGTCTCCAATGTTATTGCTTTTCAAATTCCAGGAGTAACAGGATGGAAGGTCGCAGAGCTCTAAGTAATAAGTAAAGTGGCCTGGGATGTTGAACATGGTGGAGTGGTGGGAGTCTATTGATGGAAACTAGACGACAGCTATGCCTTCTATTACATCTGGTTGTTGTCCTGTGAAAATGCAGGCCTGATATGGCCAAATCTTTGTGTTTTTCAAACCAAGAGGTAGAAACTTGAATTTTTACAAGCAGTCTCCCAATTTTTATTGTGATAAGTTCAGATTACAAAAAATATATATGGGTCCAGTAAAATACCACCTGTTTTCAGCCTCTGGTGTGGTAGGATATATGAAGCCAGCTTGTTCTTCCAGGTAGGAAGTGGTGCTTATAGGTCACCTCTACTGAGACATTGTTGGTGACGTCTTGTAAGACTCAGCTCTGGGATCCTCCATACTGAATGGCTCTTATAGTTGCAGGAAAAACCCAGGTCCAAATGACACCCACAGTTGACCACAGTTTTACCTAATTAAGTAAAACTTCTTTAAAAAAAAATTTATTTTGTTACCTTGTTACCAGTACTTTCAAATGCTTAAGAAAAAAAAATCAGTATTAAATTATCAGTTTTGCAATCCAGAGGATATTTGCATTTTTTCAAAAAAATTTTTAAAATTAAAAAAAGATAACATATTGGCCTCCTGCCTTTTAAATGTAGCAGCTTTTATTTTATTTTTAATATTTAAGGAATGAATCAGACTTTCAGATGTGCTTAAATTGGTACCTAGAGACATAATGGAGATTTCTTATTTTCTTCACTGGTAAGAATTTGTCATTCATTCCAGTAGATATTTTCAAGCAACCTTTTTATTTTAGTGCAGCTTTAGAGATAAAGTTATGAATATAGTACAGAGAGTTCTCCTATACCCCAAATTCAGTTTCCCCTTATTATTAACATCTATGTTAATTAATGAGCCAGTCATGATGCATTGTTATGATCTGAAGTTCAAACTTTATTCAAATTCCTTAGTGTTTACCTACTGTTCTTTTTCTGTTCCAGGACTCTATCCAGAATATCACATTACATTAATTCATGTCTCCTTAGGCTTCCCTTGGGTGTGACAGTTTCTCAGACTTCTCTTGTTTTTGATGATTTTGACTGTTTTGAGGAGGACTGGTCAGGTATTCCATAAAACATCCCTTAATTGGGACCTGTCTCAGTTTTTTTCTCATGATGATGTATTTTTGGGGAGTTAGTCTAAAAAGGTAAAGTACCATTCTTTTGATATTAAGGGTACACACTGTTGTGTCAGTATTATCTTTTATGGTTGATGTGAATCTTGATCACCTGGTTGAGGTTGTGTTCATCAGATTTCTTCATTGTAGTGTTACTGAAGGCACTGTGTGCAGCCTGCATGTGAGTAGGGAGTCATCTACACCTCTGTGAGAGTGTCTACGTAAACTATTTGGAATTCTTCTGCATGAGAGATTGGTCTCCTTCTCTGTATATGCATGCATGCATGCATGCATGTATGTATGTATGTATGTATGTCAGTATGAATATTTTATTATTTGGATTATAATATAATACTTCTTTATTTCATTGCTCAGACAGTTCCAGCTTTGGCCATGAAAACTCTTTCAGTTGGCTACTGTGTCCCTTTGATATGCCCCTACTGTTGCATTGTTGTTGGTTTTGAGTACTTTCTTAATTTCTGGCACTATGAGGTGTTCATGCACATCCTGTGTATTCCCGCTCCAGTGCTAGAATCCTTGTTTTTTTCTGAGGACCCCTGGTTTCTTTTATTGGAGGCTATTACTAGAAATCAAGATATGCTATGCTCATTGCTACTGGGATGTGTTGCTTCGAGGCTCTTTCAGCTGACAGAGCAAGGAAGTATGTTGTGTATAATACTGTAATTTGGCCTTTTCCAGAATGTCACACAAATGCCATACAGTATATAGCCCTTTTAGACTGGCTTGTTCTACTGGTAGTATGCATTTAAAAGTTATCTATGTTGTTTTTTGGGGGAGGAGAAGGGACAGGGTCATGCTCTGTCACATAGGCCCTTGTTTTTGTTTTAGTTTACGTGTGTGTGTGTGTGTGTGTGTGTGTGTCTTGTGTATCTGTGAGTTAGAGACAGGATCTCCGTCTGTCATCCAGGCTGGAGTGCAGTAGTGCGATCCTGGCTCATTGCAGCCTCAACTTCCTGGGCTCAGGTGATTTTCCCACCTCAGCCTCCTGAATAGGTGTGACCGCAGGCACGTGCCACCATACCTGGCTAGCTTTTATATTTTTTGTGAAGACAGAGTTTTGCTGTGTTTCTCAGGCTGGTCTCAAATTCCTTGGCTCAAGCAGTTTGCCCATCTCAGCCTTCCAAAGTGCTGCGACTACAGGTGTGAACCACCACCCTCAGCCGTTTTTTTTTCCCCCTGTGAATAGTATTCTATTATATGGATGAAAACAGTTTGTTTATACACTCACCTATTGAGATTGCTTCCAGCTCTTGACCAGTACAAATAAGACTTCTATAAACATTCTCATGCAGATGTTTATGTTGACATAAAATTTCAAATGAATTGAGTACCTAGGAGTGCGATTGCTGTATTATATTATAGAGACTGTATAGCTTTTTAAGACACTGCCAAACTGTATTCCAAAATTTGGAATGATATATAGCTTTTGCATTCACTCCAGCAATGAATGAGAGCTGTTTCTCTGCATCCTATTCAACATTTGGTATTGTCAGTTTTTAAAATTTTAGCCGTTTTAATAGCTGTCTAGTAGTATTTCATCATTTTAATTTATATTTCCCTGATGACATAATGATAATTGAGCTTCTTTTAATATCTTGTCATACGTATATCTTCTTTGGTGAAGAGTCTGTTCAGATCTTCACCCCCAACCCTGTTTTTGTTGTTGTTATTGAATTTTAAGAATTCTTTGCGTGTTTGGTTTTTTTTTTTTTGTTTTTTGAGATGGGGTCTCACTCTGTTGTCCAGGCTGGAGTGCAGTGGGGCTATCTCGGCTCATTGCAACCTCTGCCTCCTGGGTTCAAGCAATTCTCCTGCCTCAGGCTCCCGAGTAGCTGGGATTACAAATGTGTACCACCCTGCCTAGCTAACTTTGTATTTTTAGTAGAGACAGGGATTCACCATTTTGGCCAGGCTGGTCTTGAACTCCTGAACTCAGTTAATCCACCTGTCTCAGCTTCCCAAAGTGCTGAGATTATAAGTGTGAACCACTGTGCCCAGCCTAGTTTTAAGAATTCTTTGTATATTTCATCTATTTATTTAGTTTGGAGCCAGGGTCTTGCTCTGTCACCTTGACTGGGGTACAGTGGCATGATCATGGCTCATGGCAGCCTCAAAATCTTGGGCTCAAGTAATCCTCCACCACAGCCTCCTATAGCTGGGACTATAGGTACATACCACCACACTCTACTGATTTTTTATTAAAAGAAATTTTTTTTGTAGAGATGGGGTTTTGCTGTGTTGATCAGGCTCATCTCAAACTTCTGACCTCAAACAATCCTCCCACCTCAGACTCCTAAAGTGCTAGGGCTGTGGACATGAGTCTCCATGCCCTGCTGTATATTTTATATACAACTTCTTTATTAGATGTGTTTTGTAAATATTTTCTCCTAATCTTTGGCTCGTCTTTTCATTCTCTTAATAGTGTCATTCACAGAGTAGTGTTTTACATTTTATTAAGCCCATTTATCTTCTTTCATAAATAGTGTTTTTGGTGTTGTATCCAAAAACTCATTACTGAACCCAAGATGATAGACATTTTCTCCTATGTCTTCATCTAGAAATTTTATTTTTTGCATTTTACACCTAGGATTATGATTCATTTTGCATTAATTTTTTTGTAAAATGTAAGGTCCAAGTTTAGGTTCATTTAATTTTCTTTTTGGCATATGAATATTTAATTATTCCAGCACCATTTGTTGAAAAGACTATGCTTTTTTAATTGAATTGCCTTTGTGCCTTTTTCATAAATTGGTTGACTACATTAAATGGGTTGATTTCTGTGGTCTGTTTCCTGTTTCATTGATGAATGCATCTATTCTTTTTGCCAGTTCCACAGCTTGGATGGAGTTTGATTTTGATTGGTATTAATTTTTATTTTGGGTTTGAGAAAGAGATTCTCATTCAATTTTATGACAATGCTGGTGTGTTTGAGTGTTT